CAGCGCTGGCTCTTCGGCTTTGAAACGGAGATGAGCACCGCAACCCTAGAGTCGGATTCGACTGACTTTCGAGCAAGGGAACCTTTACCCCCCCCTTTTGCTTCCCCTTCTGAGCTCACTTCCGGTGATGTCAGGGGGCGTGGCATATGCTAATAGCCTAGTAGCTCTTTTTCTGCAAAAAGACCCCTGGTGGTTAGGAGTGCGAACTCTAATCTGGGAGAACCGAGTTTGATTCCCCACTCCTCCACATGTAGCTGCTGGTATGACCTTGGGTCAGTCATAAGTTCTTTCAGAGCTGTTCTCTCAAGGGCAGTTCTCGAGAGAGCTCTCTCAGCCCCACCTTCCTCACAGGGTGTCTGTTGTGGGGAGAGGGAGGAGGAGGAATTGTAAGCTGCTCTGAGACTCCTTCAGGTAGTGAAGAGAGGGGTATAAATTCAATCTCTTCTCTCTTAATTGTTCCTGAGAGTTGCTGGCTGTAGGCAGGCAACCTTAACAATGACAGGGTTGTCAACTTTAGGCTGGGAAATTCCTGGAGACTTGGGGGCAGGGCCTGGGGAGGTTTGAGTTAGGGGAGAGATCCCAACATGGATGTGATACCCTGCAGTATGCCCCTGAAGCTGCCATCTTCTCCAGGGGAACTGATCTTCTGTATTCTGGAAAGACTCCAGGCCCCACCTGGATGTTTGCAACCCTAGACAATGAAAACATACTTTACAGGCCTGTTGCAAGAACATAGGAGATAGCTGTGAACATTTTACATTAATTAAGTAGATACACACATATTTTTTACATTAGGTAACTTGCCCTTCCAAGTCAACAGTCTCACAGAACACCTGACCAAGCACCCTTTAGAGAAAATATGCCTGTTTTATTTTGTGAAAAATTCACTCGCCTCGGGATAGAAAGCCATGCAGTACAGGGTCACTCTTTGATCGTTTTCTAAGAGGCTTGAGGGGTCTCTTGCAGGTTTTTACAGATGCTGAACTCAAATTTGGATGTATAGTGGTATCTCTAGAATGGACATCATCTATTTCAAAAATTCAAAAGAGACAGAGAAATGAAAACCACAAACCTGTATGTAAGCCATATGAAAAAGATCTTCAGGAGGTAGTTTAATAATTTGAACAGATTTCCACTGCTGTTTTTAAGCCAAATACTGGCTTCCAAACAGATTTTTAATTCTATGTCTTCAAAATGACCCTAAATGCAACTCTAAATTGTACTTTGGAAACAAGTAGCATTTAGTAAGCGTTTATCATAATCTTGTCTCAGTTTCTCTTGAAATTAAAATTATTTATATTTTCTAGAAATGCAGCTGAAATACAATTACTTGCTTATATGTAACAGTTTGAACTACTAAAGACCAGCTACTAATGTCTGCAGCATTGCCTGAGAAGGATAAGCAATAACAGAGTGGCATATCATGGGGGAAAAGCATTTCTACTGGAGAGAGTAAAAACATTTTATCTAGGAGTCGAAAGTTCCTTGGCTGACATAAAGAACATAGTGCATTTTCCTCCCATTAGAAAGCTAGGTTTCAATAGACTGCCAGATTTAGCATCACCCAGTGACTCCAGAGCTAGAAGATCAATAGCATTACTAGGTACTGCCAAACAGACGGAAACTCAGCACTTCTTTGTGCTGTTCCAAACGTATCCTCTCTGCCACCCAACTTTCTAAATACATTAGGATTCTACTGACAGAAACCTACTATAAATTAGCCTCAACCTATGTCAGTTTGTCCATATCCATATACGTACTACAGATCAATAATAATTTTATCAAGATTTTCCTTGCTAGGATACATTACTTCCATGAAGCAAATACAATATTTTTTTAATATATATATATATTGTTTATTCAGAGACATGCTCTAGTAACTCGCAGAAATACTTCACAGACAGAACTCTATTTTTTTCCTTTGGCTGAAATTACACTACAAAAAACTATATTGAAAATACAGTTCTGGTAGGAGAAAGGTACTGGCCATTTTTCAGGCAAAATCATATACATACATGAGGCAATTTTTACTGTAGTTTTATGGCATAGTTTAAGTAATTATTCATTCTGATAAAAGAACAAAGTTTGAGTCCAGTGGCACTTTTAAGACCAGCAAAGTTTTATTTGTTGGTCTTAAAGGTGCCATTGGACTCAAATTTTGTTCTGCTGCTTCAGACCAACACAGCTACCCAACTGAATCTGAAACTGGGTGGGAGGTAGTTGTGAATTTCCCTGGAGGTCCCGTCCAACTCTATGATTCTATTATTCTAATCTATCATTCTGATAAAGTAACTTAAGCAGGTGTCTATAAAGAAGTGTCTTTTATTTCCCAATTTGATTTCAAAGTGCCTAACAAATTGTATTACGTGGGTGTTAATGTCTGGACATGACAATGTTGGAAGCTGTGATTTGTAAGAGTGGAGAATTGTATAGAGAACCAATATAATACAACTGATAGTGTTTCACAGGGGCCACAATTAAAATCTTAGCAACCCTATGAACATATTGAAGACACATATTCAATTCCCCATCTGTAGAAAGAACGAGTATCACTATCAATTACCACCAATTACTGGGTGGCTAACAAGGTCCAAATAATTTTGCACATTAAAAGCATGGCAGAAACACTCAGGGTCCCACCCAGCTCTTTAAAGTCCCATTCATTTCAACTGAAAAAGTAGAAACATATGCTTAAATTTCTTTCATTAAAATCAATTTGATTGAAATGTACCTAATTTAACATTGATTAGCATTGTCACTGCATTCACTGTCACTCTTTGAAGGAATGGATTCCCCCCCCCTTTCACTGCTTGAAAACAGCTTGAATGTGTCTTTTAAAAAAGATAATTAATTAATGTTGCTTCCAAATGACAACAATGTTTAATGTAGGTCTTGTTGCTGCTGCCTCAAATGCAGAGGCATTCACAGTGGTAACAGAGCCATCTACATAGTGATTTCCCTGCACCAAGGACCAGGGAGGGGAAGCAGTAAGAAAGCTGTGGTCGGGGAAAGTGCCATCAAGTCACAGCTGACTTATGACGACCCGAAGGGCTTCCAAGGCAAGAGACAAACAAGGTGGTTTGTCATTGCCTGCCTCTGCATAACACCCCTAGACTTCCATGGTGGTCTCTTATCCAAGCAGTAACCAGGGTTGACCCTATTTAGCTTCCAAGATTTGACACGATCAGGCTAGCCTGGGTCACCCAGGTCTAGGCAAGACAGTTGTAGGCATACTATTTGTTTGTCAACATTGTGCTATAGGACTATAATTATCTATTTCAAGATCATCTAGGGCGCTTCATGGATGAGTGGGGATTTCAACCGAGTCTCCCTTATTTTAGTCTGATCCTCTAACCACTATATTGTACTGGGTTTCAATATAAATTATATGAACATATTTCTAAACTGCAAGCAAATATTCCAGTGAAACCAAGTGTCAGAGACAGAACAAAAGTATTAAGGAAAAACTGATGCTGCATTGTTTAAACCATAATATAACATACAACCAAACCAGCATAGCATTTCTAGAAACCACTATTATGGACAAGGGTATAAAGAGACACTTTAAACTAAGTTGGTGGGAACAATGATTAATTAACATGCTCCTTTGCAGTCAGGGATCATTTCATAGAAAAAGAGGTGCAGGAGCTCATTAGCATAACGTATTTGCATATGCCACACCCCCTGACATCACCGGAAGTGTGTCACAAGGCAACACCTACCGCTCAGGCTCCACTGGACTGTTTTGGATTGCTAGCTATTGGGAGGGGAAACATGCAGATCTGTCCTCGCAGAGGAGGAGGGAGAGCTTGTACCTGAATAAAACTTGGTCTTAGAGGTGCCACTGGACTGTTTTGGACCGGGGGGCCAGGGTGGCTCTGCAGCTTACCTGGCTGTTTCTTGCTCTGACTGAGTGCTGCTGGGAGCAGAGGGCAGGGATTGTTGCATGTGCCCGCCCCCTGGGTTCTTTACTGCCGGAGCTCTGCTCCTGTGCGCTCCTGCAGGAAATGACCCCTGTTTGCAGTTCATTATTACAACCAACTCTAACACTCTCAAAATCAGGTGGGTTATTTTCCAAAACTTTAAAATTATTAAATCTTACCTTGGGGTAATTGTGTATCATTTTGTCCTGCTGGACCACTAACTGTTTCTGTAACTTGAAATGTGCTTTCCTAAACACAAAATTAATAATGTTCAAACAAATATTACTAGGACAATAAGAGATGGTTGAGAAATTTTCAACTGAAAAAAACCCATCCATAAGAACAATAACCAGTTCTCTAACTAGCAGACATGATGCTTGAGCAGCTTTTCAATGTCCAATAAATAAATAAATAAAATAAAACAACAACAATAAGTAAGTAAATACTTTTCGTTCCCCTCCTTATTTGTAAGCAGAAATATATACTAGGAGTACAAATTTGATTGCCTGAAGTATGTGACAACTTATCCAGGTCCATTGTGACAGCATGTTAAACATCTGAAATCCAGTAGGTAGTACCTGCTCATGACTGATCTGGTTCACTACAGCTTCATAAGGTGGTGGGGGATCGAGGGGGCAGAAAATCTCAACTCCTTTAATTCTGGCTCCATAAATATGAGGTAGTGGAATAACATCTGAACCCAGCATCCTAGGAGAAAGACTTGTATCAGTTATGAAGATCACTTACATTTTGTGTGGAACGTACTCACAAAGAATTCAGTGATGCTTCCACAAACTAACAAACAGTTATCTGCAGAACACAGATGAAAAAAAAATCACCAAGACTTTAAAATAACCAAAGAAGGGGCATGCAATTAAAGAACAGGTGGCTCTCAGCCAAATGAATGCTGAAAATTAGGTCCACAAAGCTAGACAATAATAGCATGGTCAGAGGAAAAATTTGTACACAAGCTGAAACATCTGGCAACACTTGCCTGGAAGAAGTCTAATGTCTGAGGCAAGCCTTTCCCATATAGCCTTGTGCCACTAATGTTATATCACACTTTTCAGTTTGGTTTCCCCCCTTACATAAACAGCATAAACACAGGTTAGGTGGACAACTCATGCTACTTCTAAACGTAACTAAGTTTTCCAACTATTTCTTTTACATGTCTAGTTCAGAGAATTCGGTTGTTTAAATATCTCTAGTTAAACAGCATTATTTTAAATTTTGCATTGGCTATGTCTGACCAATCGAATTGTGTCAAGGAAATTTTTTGTAGGATGGGACTCCAAATACTGAGAGGGTTATAGAATTCACACTCGTTTTTGGATGTTGCGTCATAGATTGAGAGATTCTCCAGCATGAAGATGTCCCATACCTTATTGATCCATTGAGACAGCGTTGGTGAGTTTTTGTTTTTCCAATTCTTTGCTATGGTCATTTTTGCTGCTAACATTAGTAAATTAACTAATTGTTGAGTTCTTTCAGGGGGACGAATTTGTGGCCAGAGGTGTAGAAGCATCAGTTCCGGTGTTAAAGGTAAGTCAGTGTTTGTTATTTGTTTGATTTGATTAACAATTTTGATCCAATATTTTTGTATTTCCTTGCAGGTCCACCAACAATGGAGGAAATCCGCCCTCTCTCCACATCCTTTCCAGCAAAGCGGTGAAGATGAGGGAAGAATGTGGGACAGTCTTGCTGGCATGAGGTACCATCTGGTAAGGATCTTCAAGTTTGACTCTTGTAACCCTAGTGTTTTAGTACTTTTTGCCTGAGTTCGCCATATTTCTTCCCATTGTTCTTCAGATAGTATCCGTTTGAGATCTGCATTCCATGTTAATTGGTAGTTATGAGGTCTAGCGTTTTGTGATAGTGTAATGGCTTTGTAGAGCTTAGCTATGAGGCCTTTCTTTGATGGCGATTTGTCTAGTAGATGTTCTATATCTGTGAGCTGCATCTTGCTTGCCTCGCGAAATTCCGACGTGGATATTAAGTTTTGGACCTGTAAATATTCAAACCACGATATTGATATTTGGTACTTCTGTTCTAGGTCACTTTTCAGAACCATTTTCCCTCTGTGGACAACATCTTTTATCTTGTTTATCTTTTTCACTCTCCATATTTCGAAAGAGTGCGGTTTTTCCGCTGACTTGAACCATGTTTGTCGCGTGAACGCGCTCAATCTGGAGTATTTGTTGGTTAGTTTCATTTTGATGTCGTACCATGTTTTCATAGATGCCTTCAAGAACAAATTCGTGTTTTGTTTATCTATTTTTAAAAATGATTTATGCCATAATAGTTCTTGAAACGATGACTCTCTGATATCCGCTTCCTCAATTTTTTTCCAGTCTAGTGTGTCTTCATCGTGGTATTGACGTATTGTAGCGGCCAGGATAGCTGCTTTTCTGTAGCTTTCGAGGTCTGGTATTGCTAGACCCCCTTTGCGCCTTGGTCTTCTCGTAGTGTGAAAGGCAATTCTTGGTGGTTTCCCGCCCCATACGAATGAGTTCAGCTCTTTTTGCCATTTTTGTATAAGTTGAGGTGGAATATTTATTGGTAGGGTCCTAAAGAGATACAGGTACTTTGGAAGAATAAAGGATCTGATCACAGCTATTCTGTCCAGCCACGATAGACTTTTTGCATTCCAGGATTCCAGTGTTTGTTTGACACCTTTATGCATTTCCACATGATTTGTTTTGATAATGTCCGAAAGCTCCAAAGGAATTTGAATGCCTAAATATTGGATAGTGTTTTGCGCCCATTGAAAAGTATACCTCGACTTAATCTGTTTCTCCTCCAACTTTGTTAACTTGACTGGGTATATCACTGTCTTTTTTTGGTTCACTTTTAGACCAGAGACCGTGGCAAACTGCAATAGAGACCGGTGGATGGTTTCTAAGGAATCGATGGGGTTACTGACATACAGTATGACATCATCTGCGAAGAGACTTAGCTTATATTGATTGTCTCCGGCACGTACGCCTTCAAACCGGTTGTTAGATCTTAATTCGCATGCTAAAGGCTCCAACGCGAGGACAAATAAAATGGGAGACAGGGGACAGCCTTGTCTTGTACCTCTAAATAACTTGATTTCTTGCGATTGATCTCCGTTTATTAGTAGTTTTGCCTTTGGGTCTTTATAAATTGCTCGTATGATATTCTTAAAACTAGGACCAAAGTTCATCAGGTCAAGTAATGCTTTTAGGAAGTTAATCTCGATTTTCAGTTTGTTTGTTCATGCTTAGGTTGCAGGTACCTAAAACCATCCTGCTGCATAGCTAACTCTAGAGCATATAGTGGCAAAATCCAGTGCAGGAGTCATGAAATATTCATTATATCCCTCTCTGATGTGCTGGTTATCTGTGAATGCATTCTAGGTTTTCTACAGTGAAACTGCAAACTGTTCTGGGCCTACTGTGCCTCATAAATGTCAGTTTTGATTGCACTCAATTATCCTAGCATTTCACATTTCCTACTATATTTAACATTCTCTGCCCTCATTACCATTAAACATAACAAACACGAAGGTAAATGATGGTCAAAATCAGGGTTTTCTATGAGGCACTGTGGATAAACTGTGCTTAATATCTTTTAAGCTTACTTCCAAGATTTTCAAGTGAATATTTAATGGATTACATACATATTCAGCTTCTGGAAAGCTGGAAGCCAACACCTTTATCAAAAAAGCAATTAAATCATAGATTAACACCTCTTATCTAATGAAATTCATTCTAATGTTAGGAGGAGATGCTGTGACAGTAAGTTCTGTAGTCCAAAGAGGGCTCTAGAATGTTCTGTAGCTACATCTCTTCAGTGTGACAGTACGGATGATAGGTGAAGAACAAATTGTTTTCTACTCTTCACCTACCATCTGTGTCTAAATAAGATGAATAAAGAGACTGAGTTCCCTTGTCTTCACCTTCCTATGACATACCACACATGAATAGTTGTTACAGCCTCTGAACCATAAAATCCCTCCTGCCAACTTTCTCCCTTCCCACACATGTCTCCAATAAGGGGCATATTGTGGAGTGGTGGTCAGAACAACCTCATTTATAGCCTGAAGGCCAAGACAGAACGTGTCCCCAGACCCAAGGCATGGCAAAGGCATTGCTATTACACAATACCATCTACAAGCCTGAAGGTATCACCACAGCTACTCGGAAGCCTGTTCTATATTCATTTCACTCCAAACTTTGGACAGGCTGCAATCTGGTCCAAAATATAGGCAAGGAGGGTGGACATGGATGAAAACATAGTAAGTGTGAGGTTTCATGGTATTCTGCATCAAATCTAGTCATTACAAGGCTGGTACAATTAAATAAATATATAGGGTTGGATCCAAAGTAACATAAGGAAGGAAAACAGCTACCAGCATTCTTATGCAAATGCTTGTGGAAGAACTTCCACAGAACTGCGCTAGGCAGGTTCAGCTGCAGACCCATGTTTTCACATGTGCAAACAGAACATCACCTTTGGATTCAGTTTTACTTTTCTCACATAAAACTCCAAAGCAAGGTAGAAACCAGCCAATCTGTGAGGAGAAGTCACAGTCAACATGCAGAATGGCACCTCTGGACCCAATCAAGAACAGAAATTACTCTCCATATAAAAACAACTGAACCACCTGTCCCTTTACCAAGGACACAGTTTTTAGACCTTAGACTGAGGCTAAGACTAGTAATGTCGCCACTTTTGTAAATGTTATTCAATAATTCTCCCACCAGTCAGCCCTGAAGTTGTAAGGAACTTGTATTCTCCCAACACTGCAACTTCATTTCCTCTTGCTGAAAAGTGACATTCTCAACAAACAGTACCTCCATTTGCAGCATATTATGTAACTGTAGGACTGCCATATCCACCTAGTAGTTACTGCATGGGAATCTCACTGTAACTCCCTATCTCTGTTTTGTGCTTTTTTAAAAAAAAAACAGGAACCATCTGAGGGTACAAAGCAAGGAAGCTGGTTTAAAAAACATTTTTCTCAACATTACTTAACTAGGATGTACTAATTGATAAATAAAGTTAAATGTGAGGGTAGGAAAAAGAGCAAGAGACATTTCCTGTTCAGTGTTTCAATGAATGTTCTTCACTCCTTGATTTCTATTTTGATGATGGAAGTTCCTGTAGCAATGACTCATGGAATATTAGTCAGACTGTGTGGGGGCAGGGACAGCCAGTACTTGATTAGACTTTCACTCTAGAAAAATCAATTTACTTTCCATTAGATCAAGCAATTTCCACTTTCTCCTTGTGAGCCCATATCTGCTGCTGCCTCTCCCTAATACTATAAAGGACTGTGATCAGATATAATCTATTAGGTGAAAGGACAAAAGAAAAAAGCATATACAAAAATAAAGTTGGCTGCAGAGTGATCTAGCTATGCAGCACAGTATAGTAGACTAGTAGTTTGTTTTTTACTTATTCTGGGATGTGTTTTTAAAGTAACCATCTATGCCACATCAACTGTACACACGGTAACAAAGAAGATGTGGGTGGATAAAAGGAAGTACTTCTTCACCCAAAGAGTGATTAACACATGGAATTCACTGCCACAGGAGGTGGCAGCAGCTCCAAGCATGCGGCTTCAAGAGGGAATTAGATAAACACAAGAGGTGGACCCGCGATACTCGCGGGGGTGGGGTCAGGGCCTCCTTGAGGTGCTTCTGTGCCCTAGGCAGGTGCAGATGCCAACCTCCCGTTGG